CCAAAAAAAAACGTGGTTCTTTTTTTTTTTTTTTTTTTTTGGGACGGAGTTTCGCTCTTGTTACCCAGGCTGGAGTGCAATGGCGCGATCTTGGCTCACCGCAACCTCCGCCTCCTGGGTTCAGGCAATTCTCCTGCCTTAGCCTCCTGAGTAGCTGGGATTACAGGCACGCGCCATCATAGCCAGCTAATTTTTTGTATTTTTAGTACAGACGGGGTTTCACCGTGTTGACCAGGATGGTCTCGATCTCTTGACCTCGTGATCCACCCGCCTCGGCCTCCCAAAGTGCTGGGATTACAGGCGTGAGCCACCGCGCCCGGCAAAAATGTGGTTCTTAAATGTATTTGTCTTGGGACCCTTTTACACTGTGTGAGATGGATCAGTTATGATTCTTACAAAGAAACTGCAGAACAGAGAGTGGTGTGACTTGCTCAGAGTCGCATAGAATCGGTGGTGCTGACTACTGCAGTTCTGATTACTCTTCTGAGCTTCAGAGCCCTTTGATTACCTCTGCTGGGCATCCCAGGGGACATTTGCACTCAAGATACCCTAAAAATAAGCTAAAAAACCCTCTCGCCACATGTCCAGCTATTTCTGTATTACTGAAGTTAGTTAATGGCACAAGTCTAAATTCACCCTCTCCTTGTCTTAGCATAACCAGAAGCCTGGATGCCATTCTAGACTCTGCTTAGATTCTCTTCTTCCTTAGTCCTCAGTCCAGTCATTCGAGTTCTAACAATTTCCCTTCTTTTTTTTTTTTTTTTTTGAGACGGAGTTTCGCTCTTGTTACCCAGGCTGGAGTGCAATGGCGCGATCTCGGCTCACCGCAACCTCCGCCTCCTGGGTTCAGGCAATTCTCCTGCCTCAGCCTCCTGAGTAGCTGGGATTACAGGCACACGCCACCATGCCCAGCTAATTTTTTTTTTGTATTTTTGGTAGAGACGGGGTTTCACCATGTTGACCAGGATGGTCTCGATCTCTTGACCTTGTGATCCACCCGCCTCGGCCTCCCAAAGTGCTGGGATTACAGGCTTGAGCCACCGCGCCTGGCCTGAACAATTTCCCTTCTAATGATTTATCAAATACAACATTTATCTCTATCTTCCACTATTCCTGTCCTTACGAGCATCCTAATCTCTACCCTGCACTGCTGCAATTAACTCCCATTTGACGTCCTTGGTCCCTCAAAATCATCTTCTACATTGCTGCCAGAATGATCTATCAAAAATGCAAATCTGGTCATGCCATGTTAGTGGCTGCCTGTGAGTTAAGGGTAAAGTCCAGGGTCCTCAGCATGGCCCCCAGGCCCTCAAATCAGTGGCCCTCTCCAACCTCAGTGCCTTCCTGTCACCCCTTGCATCATACTTACCTCTCTGGCAGTGCTCTGCTGTTTGCCTGCCTGAGCACACATGTTGCTTCATACCTGTGATCCAACGTAACCCCCTGGGAGGCCTTCTAGATCCAACACCCTGTGTATCCTTCTGTCACAGCACTTAAACCAGTCTGTGACAGCTATCTCTGTACCTGTGTCCCACATAGGCTTGTAAAGCCACTGATGGCAGGTGTCTAGTTTAGTTCAAAACTCATCTTTCTATCTTCAGGGCCTGGTATAGCAGTGGTCCCTAACTCGGGGCCACAGACTGGTTGGTACTGGTCCATGGCTTGTTAGGAACAGGGCCCACACAACAGGTGAGTGGTGGGTGAGTGAGCATTACGGCCCAAGTTCCATCTCCTGTCAGATCAGCAGTGGCGTTAGATTCTCATAGGAGCACCTATTGTTAACTGTGTATGCAAGTGAGCTCCTTATGAGAATCTAATGCCTGATGATCTGAGGTGGAACAGTTTCATCCCAAAACTATCCCCTCCCTTGACCCAGTCCATGGAAAAATTGTCTTTCACAAAATTGGTTCTTGATGCCAAAAAGGTTGGGGACTGCTGTGGTGTAGCACTGGGCAAAGTATGCTGCAGAGAAGTTTTGTAGAAGCACTGAGGGAAAAGAATGACATACAGCAATGGGACCTGTTTGGGTGGAGGGATGGGAGTGGAGACTGTGAGATGAAGACAGTAGGGAAAACTTTTGTTCAAAGAAGGTCACAATTGAGCTGAGTCTTGAAGGAAGAGGAGGCACTCTAGACAGGAATGATAAAGGACCTGCAGGATAGAACAGTACTTGCAAAGGCCTGGAGGCCCAAGAGGACATGGCACATTTAGGAAACTACAACTGATGATGACAGAGGACAGGATGCACAGGTGGGACTTTGGCAGAGACTGGAGGAACAGACAGGGCTCATGCTATCAAAACATGGCCTATATTTTAGGTCTTGCAAGAGTGTTCCAAAGTATTTATTTCACTATTCCAATTACTTTAGGCATCACAATGTGCAGGTCATTAAAAAATTTTTACTAGTCTACTTTTGATTGCTTATGCAGCACTACCTGTATTACTTTTGATAGTTAACTTAACCTCCCTGTGCCTCAGTTGCCCTACAGGGTCATAAAAATAGTACCTACCTCACAAGATTACTGTCAAAAATAAACATGTTAATAGATGTGAAGATTATAAGACAGCAGTCGCACACAGAATTGATCAGTGGATGCTGTGTTGCTATTGATTTGCCATCAGTGACAAACAGCTGCTGAGATTAGAGTGGAGGGAAGGGACTGTTCTTGAAATCCACAAAACACAGCCTTAATGTAAAGGTAGGACATATTTTATAAAAAGTAAGTTTATCTTGGGAGATGACAGTAGCAGAAACCTAAGTTTTTAGGTCCATGATCTCAGGCAACAGTATAAATCGATTAACAGACTCCTTTGAATAATACATTTATATTTGGGTAATAAGTTTAGCTTAAAATTAGATGTTTAAAGTATAATTTGACCAATTATTTTCTGTATATATATCATCTTACAGTTGCCCACACTGAAAGCCATTTTCAATTTTCTGCCTTTCAGGTACAGCCTTAAATGATTTTCCTGCAGTCTGAAGAATTTTCCTGTTGAGTTTCTTGAATGACTTTCCTGTTCAGTTGGCAATTACTCATTTGAAAACAATTGGGACTCATTTGCTCATAAATCATTTCCAAAGAGAATTTCAGAAATAGAAGGGTCCTTAGAGACTGTCTAGTCCAACAGTCTATTTTATAAACAAGAACACTGAAATACAGAGATTGAATGACCAGTCCAAGTTATAGTCTTTGAGAGTTCCACCTTGACTTTCCTACATGCTCTCACATAGACCCTCTCCCCGCCACTTTCTTTAGTGTGTGAACTCCCTGCTGGTTCCAAGTCCTTATGTATCCTCAGTTTAAATGACAAAGTATCTTTCTCCAGACTATGGTGAAATCAAATGCTTTCTATGTATTTAACTTGCATATTTCATGTGTTCCCTCAACAGACTTGGTTAAGTATTTGGTGCTAGATGTTTGGTTAATCCTGCTAAAAATTCCACCAGTATGCCTATTACTACACTCTTTACTCTCCAAAGTCAAAGTCATTAAGTAAAATCATGCTCTCCCATGAAATTTAACCACTTAACTGGGTAGATACGACTTCAGTGGTATGACCTAGATGCTGTTCTCAAATTTGCAGAATGAACATGTTTTCTAGGCAGGTTTCTAAACATTTGAGAGTCATTGCTTAAGAGGTTTAGTGTTCCTGTCTTCTGACAGAGGTTGTACAGGTCGGTTTGGCAGCTTACACACCTGGTAGAGGGGAGGCTACCTAACCAGGTGTGTTCCAAGGGTAGGCTCTGCTCCTATGACATCCAATCCATAGCCTGGCCAGTCACCTAAGTGAGGCTTGAGGTAAAGAGATGAGTTGATCCAGTCAGATTTTTTCTCAGGGGAATATGGCTTTAAATCAGAGAGGAGTAGCAGTTAGTCAAAACCAAACCAAACCAAACAACACATCTGAAAAAAATGCAGAGAGAATCCATAAGAAAATGATGAGTCAGAAGCAGCCACAAAGTGAAAGTAGAGGTTCTGAATTAGAAAAAAACCATACCGGCCGGGTGCGGTGGCTCACGCCTGTAATCCCAGCTCTTTGGGAGGCAGAGGCAGGTGAATCGCTTGAGTTGGGGGGTTTGAGACCAGCTTGGCCAACATGGCAAAATCTCACCTCTACTAAAAATGCAAAAATTAGCCAGGCGTGGTGGCGGGCGCCTGTAATTCCAGCTACTCTGGAGGCTGAGGCAGGAGAGTCACTTGAACCCCGTGGGGCAGAGGTTGCAGTGAGATGACATCACGCCACTGCACTCCAGCCTGGGCAGCAACAACAGAAAAAGAATCATAGGCAAATAGGGGAGTGGTGAGGCATGGAAAAAAGTGAATGTGTTATATTAAAGACGTAAGAGTTTAGGCCCTCAGTGTCCTGCTGTCAAGGTCAATAAGCGGGATCTGTCTGGTGAGCCAGGATAAACTGAGGTTTCAGCTCCAGAGCTTGTGAGACTCTTTTTCCTTTACCGCTAGGCATTTCTATCGTACCCTAAACAGAACGGATTTGATTCTGGCAACCAAAAGAACTCTTTACGACACCTAGGAAATGTTAGGGAGGTGCTAGCGTGTGCCTTAAGCTTTTTAGCTATGTGCTACTCACTGGCCATTTCCACGCTCAACTCTTCCAATGCTCTAGGGAAGTTTTACGTATGCAACATATTGGCCTTAACTTCACCAATGGCTGATTTCAATCCTTTTTTTCTCTTCTGCAGAAACATAACACTAATCATGCTCCGAGAGCACCAACTAAGGTAGCCTTTAGGGGAAAACGTTATAAGACGTGAACGTCTTCCCTGGTAGAAAGAAGGGCAAGCCCTCTGCTCCTCCCCGAGGTCTCAGAGGCCACACCTGCAGGCAGGAGCACGCTTTTCGATGGCGGAGCCCGGTCCCTGTCCCGCGGCCGCCGGCGCAGGACGGTGGTTCCTGGTCGCCAAGGACATTGTACGGCAGCCCGCGCCCCCGGCCCCCGGCCCCCGGTCCCCGATCCCCGGCGACCGCTGCGTCACCTGTAATTGTAGGCGCTGAAACGCTTGCTTTCTCTCAGCATAGCCCGGTACAGATCTAATACTTGTGCGCGGCTGGAGGCTGCCATTTTGGAAACAAAAAAAACAAACGGGTCCTCTTCGGAGAGGTCCCAAGTACAGCCCAACCCACGGAACTTCAGCCTGTGCAGAAACTACGAACGAAATAAAGAGCGGCGGCTCGGCCTTGCCAGCAGGCCGGGCCTAGGCCTAGGTGGGCACCCCTGAGGACCGCGGACGGCACCCGGCGTCCCGGGCCTCTTCCGAGGTGGGTTCAGGCAGGCCTTGGGGCAGCTAAGGGGGCGGTGCCCGGAGGGAGGTGCCTCCGCTCCGCCCCGCCCCCGCCTAGAGGCTCTGGACCCAGTAGCCGCTCCACTAGGCTGAAAGGAAGGGAAACTAGAGGCTTGGCCTTCCGTGCATCCAGCCAAGCCCCTGGGGGACGAAGATCGGAGGCGCGAGCATCCGAGGGAACCGCAGTTGCACCATGGAGAGCCTTTGCGAACCGTCCGGAGACTTGGAGGGGACATTTGTGTTTCAGGGCGCAACGGACCCTAGTACCTCCAGGAGCCTGCGTTGCCCGGGTTACCGAAGGCCGCCCCGCCGAAGCCCCGCCCTTGACTGCCGATGCCCCGCCCCCACTGGCTGCGGCCGCCCTCAGTGCTGCCTTAGAGGCCTTGCGGGATTTCAAGGGTGACTTGACTTCGCCCGATCCTGCTCGACTGGGTGGGGTTTCCTGGCCTTCGCTAGGTCGGGAGGCGCGATGTCTGGGTGTGGAGGTGACGAGCCAGGTGTTCTGTGGCACTCCGGCGCTGCTCAGGGCGACCTGCGTAGGGGCCTGCGAGACAGGCCCGCTTTCTGTCAAAATGGCGGCGCCCAGCGTACATGGGTATCTGTTCAGTTGGGGTTTAAGATTCTTGCCCGTGAGAGCGAGCTAGCCTGCCACGCTTCTGATTTTGAAACACTTGGGTCTGGGTTTCCCGGGAGAGCGGTGAGTGAGTGCCGGCCTCATTGCAGCCTGGGGTGCGACGTGGGCAGTAGGTGTGGTAGGGGCTTTACATTGACCGTGGATTTTTTCCTGTTTCCGGATGTGGATTTGCTTTTGAGTGAAGTGTTCCCGTGGTTTTGTAAACTAATAAATGGGTAAAATGCAGCCCGGCTGTAGACTTCGGAGAATAATTAGAGACCTTTAGGGATTTAGGTATTCTCCAAGAAGCGGAGCAAGTGTTCTCCCATGGCTTGACCTAAACTTTTTTGAATTACCTTATTAAAGTGGTGGATAAAGTTGCTTGTTCTGATCTTTGAGCATGGGACTGGGCGCAGGGAAGCCTCAGCCAATTCTGGTACTGTGTTCGCAAAGCAATTTTCTTGTTTTTGGAATCTTGCATTACATAATCAACCTTGGGAAGAACCACACCTTTCTGCACTCAAGCACAGTAAGGAGTAGCTTTATACGTGAAAACAAAACGGCCTGATGCAGTGGCTCATGTCTGTAATCCCAGCACTTTGGGAGGCCGAGGCGGGCGGAACATGAGGTTAAGAGTTCAAGACCAGACTGGCCAACATGGTGAAACCCCGTCAGTGTGACATGGTAAAAGCCCCATAAAACTGTATACCTCAACCACACCTAGGCTTTGTGTTGAAACTACTCTCCGTAATCCTGATGTGACAGGCAAGTAGTCCAAACCCACGCCATCTTGGCCCCTGCGACTTGTAATAAGTAACTAAGGTCTGTAATTTCCGCCCATATCCAGACAATATGTAAACTAACGCTTACCTTGACTTCTGTAAACCACTTAAGTAACAATCGGAATATCCATAGCCCCTTGGCCCTCGGAATGTCTGGAGCCCCTCACCCTCGTCTCCGCCCAGGAGGTGATTTGCTTTTGGAATCCACTGGCCCTCACTCCTGCCCCTCACCCTCATTCCCAAGGTAGTTTACAGGCATAAAAGGTCTTGACACCCTCCTTTCGGGGCCATCCATGGGTTGGAGAGACGCGAGTCCTTCGTGGCCGCCGGCAATAAAGACCCTACAATTTGGCATACTCTTGTCTTGGTGTTAACTTTCTATGCTCGGGCCAGTATAACACGCTACTGAAAAATACAAAAATTAGCTGGGCTTGGTGGCTCGTGCTTGTAATCCTAGCTACTTGGGAGGCTGATGTAGGAGAGTCAGGGACCTGGGAGGCTGATGTAGGAGAATCAGGGACCTGGGAGGCGGAGGTTGCAGTAAGCCAGTTACAATTGTTTCTACCTATTAGGGGATTTAATCATAAATGTATATAATTAATGTATCTAAATGACTCAACGTTGTGGTAATCAAATACAACTTTTCCAAATAAATATGTATAGTTTAAATAGTTTGGGTAGCCTTGTCCTCTGTTAGTACAAGCAAGGGTCACAGTTAGGAAAGTGATAGCTTCCCAGTTAATTCTGAGCCAGGTCTTCACAAAAATACCTCATTAGTTTATTTAAAATGGTTTACCAGTTTGTTGGACATCATTGCCTTGAGAGGCTAATAGAAAATATTAATTTGGAAGCTACGTCTCACTTTTGCATATCTTTATTGTGGAGATGCCTTTTTTGTTTTTTTAAAAGAAGAACTCTATTTGAGATTGTAAGTAGAATGGGCCAGAAGCTGAAGAATGGACCATACACATATGTTCCTTAATATGCATTCTATTCTGGGTTGAAATTTTTCTTAGGGAATATCTAAAATAGGAGGTACCATTTAGGAATCAAAACATAAAAATTTGTTTAATATTCATTTTTCATTTATCCAAAGTTATCAACTACCTATAGTTCTTTATGTAAAATCTTGCATTATCTTCTATTAAAATTAGGGTTGTCCATGACCACCTAATGCTGTGTGAAGAGAAATTTCTCAAATCGTAATAAACAGCGTAACAACAATTTACTGTCCTGAAGCTTAAATATCAAAATGATGTAAAATTTGTATAGAAGTAGTAACTTATGATATTATTTAGAAATTATTCAGTTGGGCATGGTGCTTCATACCTGTAATCCCAGCACTTTGGGAGGCTGAGGCAGGTGGATTACTTGAGCCCAGGAGTTTGAGACCAGCTTGGGCAACATGGCAAAACCCCATCTATACAAAAAATACATCATAGCAAACCTCATCTCTACACAAAAAGTACAAAAATTAGCTGGGAGTGATGGCATGTGCCTGTAGGCCCAGCTACTCAGGAGACTGAGGTGGGAGGATTGCTTCAGCCCTGGAGGTCGAGGCTATGTTGAGCCATGATCATGGTACTGCACTATAGCCTGGGCAGCAGAGTGAGACCCTCTCCAAAAAAAAAAAAAAAAACAAAAGAAAAAAATTATTCTATCCTACACCACACATGAATCTAAGTATTATACATTGATCCTTCATTTTAATAGAACATGAAGGGGGAAGACCTTATATATCAACTCATTCATTTGTACAGATGAACAAACTCAAGCCTTTTTCCTCATTTATTAATTCCTTCAGCATTTATTGAAGACTTCATAAGTACCATACTTTATGATTTTTTTGTTTTTTGTTTTTTTTTTGAGATGGAGTTTCACTCTTGTTGCCCAGGCCGGAGTGCAATGGCGCAATCTCAGCCACTGCAATCTCTACCTCCCACGTTCAAGCAATTCTCCTCCCTCAGCCTCCCAAGTGGCTGGGATCACAGGTGTACACCACCACGCCTGGCTGATTTTTTGTATTTTTAGTAGAGATGGGGTTTCACCACGTTGGCCAGGCTGGACTCGAACTTCTGATCTCAGGGGATCCACCTGCTTTGGCCTCCAAAAGTGAGGGGATTACAGGTGTGAGCCACGGTGCCCAGTCCATAAGTACCATATGTTGTATAAGATGACATAATTACAGTGATGAGAGACTCCCCACCCCTAAGAAACCTGTAGGTGACTAGATAAACCAAACAATAATTTATAGAGACAGGTTCTTGCTCTGCTTCCTAAGCTAGAGTGCAGTGAGTGGTGTGATCATAGCTCATTTTAACTTCAAACTCCTGAAGTGATTTTCCTGCCTCAGCCTCCCAAGTAGCTAGGTCTATAGGCTCATGCTACCATGTCTGGCAAATTAAAAAACATTTTTTTTTGTAGAGATGAGATTTCACTATGATGTCCAGTGTGGTCTCAAACTCGTCAGTGCCTCTCCTGCCTTGGCCTCCCAAAGAGCTCAGCTTATAGGTGTGAGCCGTGGCACTTGGCCAATAATTTCTTTTTGACAGTTGCTGTGATAAGAGCAATAATTTAGCAAGTACTAAAGGAATACGGAAGAGGAATATTGAACCAGGACTTTTGCTTAAGGGAAGGCTTTCCATCATAGGTGTTTCTAGAATGAATAGTAAGAGCCAGATGAGGAATGTGGTTAAAGATTGTATTGGATATTCCAAGCATGGAGGCAGAAGGGTGCTTGATCTATTTAGAGAACTCTAAGTGTTTTAGGATGGTAGGAGGTGGGAAGGGAGGGACCACAGAAGTGGTTAGCCCTGCACTAAGTTTATTTTAGTGATGTTTTCCCTATTTCTGGAATAAATCATTTCTTCCCTTATGCATTGGCTGAGTCATATAAGTAGAGCTGAACAGCTGAGCTGTTGAAATGGAGATTATTTATTCAGGTATGGATAGCCTTTTGTTTCAAATCATGAATTTGAATCCTATTTTTCAGAGGCACTGAAATTTTATTTGTGCATTCAAGAGATACCCAGCAGCCTGGAAGTTCAAGTTACTGTCCTCGTGATGATAACTTGAGGACGATATATAAATCAAACATGGATCCCATTTTCCAGAAGTTTATACTTTAAATACATTTGTATATAATTAAAATAAGGAGTAGGAGATATTGGGTTGGTGCAAAAGTAACTGTGGATTTGACCATTAAAAGTAATGATCAAAACCGCAGTTACTTTTGCACCAACCTATACAAAGTGCTTCAAGGAAAGGGCTGGCGAAGCATCGTTGGGTCTCAGTGTAAGAAGTCACTTCCATCCCTTATGCTTGGGCCACACCTCAGACCAACAGCAGGGCTGAGGCCCAGGCTTCTGAGATTTTTGTTTAATTGTTTTTTAAGTTCCCTCCATGATTGGGTATAGCCAGGGCGGAGAAACATTGATCTGAAGGAATCAGGAGGCTTCATGGAGGAGGTAGTGTTTGTGTTGGGCTTGAGAAGATTTAAGTTTCTCCTGGGCCTTGAAAGAAATTGAAGAATTTGAATGGGTGTGTGGTGGTAAGATGGCTACTGTAGGTGGAAGATGATTTACCCTTTGCCTTGAAGGGGTGAAAGAGAAACCCTGATTGAGGTCTAAGAGAAAAACACTCATGACCTTGGAGGGGCTTTGGCCGGAGCTGTAGAGTGCATGAGGGTGAGAACAGGGAGATCCCGTGGAAACGTGATACATCGACTTTCATATGTGTTAGGCACGAGACGAGCTGAGTCCCAAATGACTTGAGTTAATCTTTCTATGACTCGATGGAAGAGCTATTATCTCCATTTAAGAAAAGTGAAGCTGGCCCGGTGTGGTGGCTAACATCTGTAATCCCAGCACTTTGGGAGGCTGAGGCGGGAGGATCACTTGAGTTCGGGAATTTGAGACCAGCCTGGGTAACACAGTGAGATGTCATCTCAATATAATAATAGTAAAAAACAACAACAACAAAAAAATGAAGCTGAAAGTTTATTTAGCCAGGATCAGACAGCTAGAAAGTAGCTAGGGTGGGTATTCGCCTGAAATGTGATCTGTCTAGCTATGATGCAGCACTGCTTCACAGATAAAGTACCAGCTTCAGGAATTTGAAGTTTATTGATTTTCCTTGGATAACATGGGTAAATTTTAGTCATATTTGAATTTTAATTTGGTTGGAGTCTCACTTATTTGTAAAGCTAACCGATTTGTATAGGAAATATTATAAATATTCAGGGAATCTCAATTGTTGATTTTTATACCAGCTTTTTAGTTATTTAAGATAAATTTACATTTTATTC